GGAAATAGACCACTCCCATGCCAGCAAACCAGCCACCTCACAGAGGTGATATTGACCTGAGATGGAGGATTGGGATGAGAAAATGTGTGGCTGCATCTTAAACAACTTAGAGTGATGTCAAAGGGAGAATAGCACCATCTTCAATTAAATGTGTACATAAAAATTGTTGTTAATAAGAAGTTAAGCATATTATCTTATTTGCTTGCTAAGGGTAGCAATAAAATGTTTGTTTGTCGAGAGGGGGGAAAATACAACCCAAATACATGACCTTATTCCCCTATTTGCAACAATTTCTTCTCTCCTCCCCCAACATTTTGTGATGTTACCAGAGCTAATGTATGGATTGAAATCATTGTTTTCTAGTTCAATGAAAGAAGTTTAATGATTATGCAGTTGCACTGGCACAAATAAAAAGATCAAACAAACCTGAAACCCAAAAGTCATACTTAATAGAGAAATGAAATCAGAATACTCTTCTGGAAAGAGGAAACTAAAGTGGGAGCATTTTCATCTCCTTGTAAACAAGACTGTTTTAACACATGTTTGAAAAGTCAGTTACCTATTTCATTATAATTTCTCAATGATGAATGCCCAATTGTTTTGTAAACTGAGAGAGGATTTTGTAACCTGACCGATTGTGGGAAGGGAAATATTTGTTCATAATGTGAAAAGGGGCAGAAAAAAAAAAAAGGGGGAAGTGAAGTGAGATCCCGCCTAAATTCTGATTGCATAATGATAACAGAAGTAATAGTACAGAGGAAGTATTCACAAAGAAATCAAAAGCTTGCCACAATTATCAGTTGTTCACATATCAAGAATATTGATTTTTAAATAGTCTCTTAACTGTTTCATGGCATTGCCTGGTGTTAGATCAACCTCTTAGAGAAAAATCACACTTTTAAAATAAATACATAAAATGGGTTTGCACAACTATATCGGGAGCTAAAATCAGACAAGAAGTAGACAAAGGAGTTATAGTGTGTCAAAGGGTGAAAATTGGGTCGCGGTAGAATTTCTTCCCATTCACTTCAACTTTTACAAGGTAATGTGGTAAACTGAAAAGACCATGGAACTGACCTGAATCCAAATCCCAGCTCCTCCACTCACTAGCTATATGTCTTTGGGCAAGAGACTTTTCTTCTCTGGGACATACATTTTTTCATCTGTAAAATAGATATAATACCTACCTTTAATACCCCTGTAAGAATTATAAGTAATGTTTAAGTGGTTAACATTTCATAAGCATTTGATAAACAAAAGCTAGTATTATTTACCTTTCCTTTTCCCCTTTATCTCGAACTGGTCTGGATAATATCTAATCCTGATTATTCAAACCTCCTAAATATCTCTGAAACCCTCCCATTTCTCTGTTACCCACCCCCACCTTTGTCTGCCATCTGGATTCCTTGCCAGTTTTCTAGCAGCGGTCCCTGAATCCAATCTAGAGTGTTTTGTTTTGTTAAGATTTTGATCCAGTTACTCTCCAGTTTAATACTCATGAATAGTTTCCCATTGTCTTTGGGATTAAGTGCTAAATCTCACAGTTTTGGGGATTAAGCTTCCAGGTCTGGTCCTGCTCACCCCTCCAACTTTCTCTTTGCCACCAGATATCCTAACATTTCTTTCGTTGTCTACATAGTACACTGAGGAAACAGCGGGAATGAAGACAGAGAAGAGAGTGAGTACGTGGCAAGTATCAGGAATGGTAAAATCTCCTCTATGACTATCAGTAAAGTACATGGCAGATTACTAGGCTAGTACTATTTTTTAGGCTTAATGATCAATTGATGGGTCAGTAACATGCGGCTCTGTGCTAGAGCACAGTAACTAGAGACTCTTACAGCACAGTATTGCTACCATAGTAGAAATAATTTCTCTTGTGTATGTTAAATAGTAGTATTTTTTCTTGGTATGAACCAATTACCTGACTCAAAACACAAGAACAGCAAGACCATAGAGAAAATTAAGTACAAAAGTTAGATGATTTCTGGAGTTTGAATGGTGTCAGGGAACACAGGAAATTATCTTGTTTGATCTATTTTGCAAAGAGTGGGAACTTAAATTACAGGGATATCGAGAGCTAAAAGAAGAGAAAGTGGTCACTAATCCTTGAGGAAAAAAATACAGTGGTCTGGATTAGGCAAACCCAAACCATTTACCATTTTTCAGTGACCCATATACCTGAGGGGCTAACAAAACGCCACCTTTGGATTGGGGTCAAGCACTGCTCCTAAGTCAGGGAATGTCCCCATAGGGAGCCACTCTGACCTGCGGCCAGGCTGCTGGACTTGCTGGGAGCAGCTGTGTGCTGGTCCTGTTTCACAAGGCTGTTACACGCTACACCTTTTACCATTTACTCCACCTTAACCTTTCAACATGTGGGCTCCCCCAGAGAGCCCTGCAGTGTTCCCTGCCACAGCCCTCCCATCTGCCCCACCCCTCCAGATTCTCCTAGCAGCCATGCTGCCACAGCAGAGATGAGACTAGGTCCTCTGCACCCCTGAGCCAAACTACACAAGGACGGCATCAGCTGGAGAATGCAGTGAGTGCAGCTGCCCTGACCGTGGTCTCCCAGGGTCCATAATGGCTTCAAGAAAATGGAACTGCTTCACTAACAAGTGATTATTTATACCTTTTGACAAAACTCATGCCAATGCCTCTTTTCATTAATACAGACAATTTTGATTTACCAGTGTCAGTACAAACACTGCACAAACACAGATGGGTATAATTTTTGTTTGTTTGTTTGTTTTTGTTTGTGGTACGCGGGCCTCTCACTGTTGTGGCCTCTCCCGTTGCGGAGCACAGGCTCCAGACGCGCAGGCTCAGCGGCCAAGGCTCATGGGCCCAGCCGCTCCGCGGCATGTGGGATCCTCCCGGACTAGGGCACGAACCCGCGTCCCCTGCATCGGCAGGCGGACTCTCAACCACCAGGGAAGCCCTCTTTTTATGTCTTAAAACCAATTTCAGGGCTTAACCATGGACACAAAAGGTGTCCCCTAAGAAATATAGCCCTCTCAAGATGCAGAGCCACTCCAGAGGTAGCCTAAGAAAGCAAAGACCTTCATTGTCACAGGTGTCAAAGAAACCTCTATCTTCCACAAAGTGAGACACCTGAAATCACTGACCTACTTATCTGTGTTACCAGAAAGGGGATACTGGGATGAGAATTTTTCCCTCACAAACAAGGCAATGAAGGTAGAGGCGATAAAGGCCCCTTATGGACTGAGACCCTTTATTAAGGCAAACTCCCCTGAGAGCCAGCATGGTTGGACAAAGAGAATGTTGCCTGTCACTTCATGTCTTAGGCTCTTAGCTGGCTGACTAGCTGCTGATGCAAGCCTGACAGACAGTCTGCACCCCCAAAGTGGCAGAAACCAGAGGGAATATTCTCACTGGTTACAAAGCCAAGTTCTCAGTACATAAAATGAGACAAAAGGAGATTCTCATCTTACGGTTTTTCATCCTTATGACAAATGACACAAAAGACAGAGACAAAGGAAAACATGACTTTCTGGGAGGCTAAGAATCAATACCCATAGGTGTTGATTACCAACAACAAAATCACAAAAGTCACGGTTCAAGATCTATCTTCACAAATGTTTTTCTCATGCCACTGTGCATTTGGAAAGGAAGGGCCAAGGAGAAATGTTTATCCTCCTCTCTTGACTGTCCACTACAGACAGAGATCTGGGAGACTGACATGGTAAGAATTCTTACCTTCTGCTGATCTGTTGTCAGTTATCCCATATCTAAACTACAGTCTCTAGGGAGAGTAGAGTGTTCCAGCCTTTTACTGTCCCATCACCAGAAACTGTACAGGAGGAAAAATTTGTTTCCTTTTACCCTTTTAGGTTTTTGGCTGGGGCTGTGAAACAAAAGACAGATTAACAAGAGAACAAGTTTATTAATATATATATCTCATATATACTTATAAGAAATGCAGGGATGAGTAACTCAAAGAGGTGGCTAGAACTTGGACTTACATATCATGTTAACCAAAGAACAATATATTTTTAGAGGAGCAACAAGCACTAGGCTTCCAAGGGTGGCAAATTGAGGGACGATCAATATATAAGAAACCAATGGAAGATAATAGCTAGTCAGTAAATGTTGTTTTGTAGAGTACTCTGGTGCTGTCTTGGGGCTAAGTGTCTAGGGTTGTAGGTGATTAATTTCTGCACAAATTTATGTTCTGCTTTCAAGAAAATAGGGGGAGGGCAGAGAACTTTTCTTGGATCTGCTTCTTTTCAGTTGCCTTCAGCTCAAAATCATTCTCATGCCAAAGGGCAAGATTTTTTGGTGATATATTCTGGTATTCTCCTGTAGGTTTTGCTATAAAGTTCCCTTGCTTTATAATGACCCTTTATGTTCTAACATGGAAATGTGAAGTAAGGCATTGTCAGAAAGGAGTTAGGAATGTTGTTCACATGAGACTTATTTATAATAGTAAACGTTGGTTTATAAATTAAGAGTTTACAATAGTAACCAAAAAAGTTAGTATAGGAATCTGGCTGAGCAACATGGTGTTGTGCTATGCAACTATCAAAACAACAGAGTGTCGTGTTCTTTTGTGGAAATTATATAAAGTAATTTTAAGTGAAAAAGATGAAGACAACATAGTGAAGGCACATAAAACAATTTAATGAAAATGAATATTAATCAAAGATTGGAGCTCATTTGCTCTTACGTAAAATGTTCAGTTTTTTCCCTTTATAGTTGCTGAAATTCATGATAAAATAGGAGGAAGTTCCTCTTTTGGCAATAGTGCTAATCCCGATTCTTCCTGAGCAATGTCATATCATTATTTTCTTGCAGGTCATCCTTAGGACCTCAGAATATCCCTCTTCAAACCTAAGGGAGAAAACTTTTAAAGACAGTTGACCAATAAACGGTTCCTGATTTCCACCAGTCTCAAAGGGTGGAGCTGCCAGACCACTCGGAGAAGGAGGAAGTGAAAAGATGCTAAATACCAGGGCCAGCTCACCCTGGCCAGCCTGGAGGTCTGGCTTCTCAGTCAGCATGAAGGCTGTCCTTATTCTGGGGCTTCTCCTCCTTTCTGTCGCTGTCCAGGGCAAGATCTTTGAGAGGTGTGAGCTTGCCAGAACTCTGAAAAGACTCGGATTGGATGGCTATAAGGGAGTCAGCCTGGCAAACTGTAAGTTAACTCTTCTTCATCTGTCCAAATAGTTAGCCAGGTGTGGAACAGATACTCATAGAGGATGAAGAATAAGAAAGGGGGGCTTCCCTGGTGGCGCAGTGGTTGAGAGTCCGCCCGCCGATGCAGGGGTTGCGGGTTCGTGCCCTGGTCTGGGAAGATCCCACGTGCCGCGGAGCGGCTGGGCCCGTGAGCCATGGCCGCTGAGCCTGCGCGTCCGGAGCCTGTGCTCCGCAACGGGAGAGGTCACAACAGGGAGAAGCCAAAAAAAAAAAAAAAAAAAAAAAAAAAAAAAAAGAATAAGAAAGGGACTTTGATTGAATGGACTTTTTTTATTCCTTTGATGGTTTGTACACTTACAATGGTTAAAAACATCAACTTGTTCCTTTAGAATCAGATGTACCAGGTGAAGGATTGAGGCATGGGAGGACCAAATTCTGTACCATTTTCAGCATGCCAGGACCCGTTGTACACTTCTAGTGCCACTAAATTTGCCCGCTGGCACATGTAAGCTGACTCAAAGATTCATTTGTGCACCGAGGATATGTCTATCAAGCCCTTGGTGTTGGACTCCAGCCATTTCCAGTTTGGAACTTGGGTTCTGGAAGCCTGAGTAATGTAGTATTTTTTTCATTTTTAATTCCCCTACCATGGTGTTGGGTTTTTAACAGCAAAGTTTTAAAAAAATTACATTGAATTCTTAAAACAGGGACAGTAGGAACCTATTTCCCCTCAATCAATATCTATATAAGGATTCCTGAAATGCAGCATGAAATGACATTTTATTCTTTTTTTTTTTTTTTTTTTTTTTTTTTTTTACATGGGCCTCTCACTGTTGTGGCCTCTCCCATTGCGGAGCACAGGCTCCAGAAGCACAGGCTCAGCAGCCAAGGCCCATGGGCCCAGCCGCTCCGTGGTATGTGGGATCCTCCCAGACCGGGGCACGAACCCGTGTCCCCTGCATTGGCAGGTGGACTCTCAACCACTGCGCCACCAGGGAAGCCCGACATTTTATTCTTACTCTAGTTGATTATTTTTCATTTTCTTCCACAGAATTCAAGATGTGCCCTAAGTAAAAGTTACTTTATATTTTAGTCCATATCTGTCAATGTAATCACTGAATTTTTCAGATTGAATTCAGACATTTCCCCTCCATAACTGTTTTTGAATGAATGAGCAAATGGCTAGATGGGTGGATGGATGACACAGTCTTTCTTATTCTATGACTCCTGTTGTCTGGATTCTAATTTGATATCCAAATTCATCTTTAGGTATCATAAGAAATTTTCTTTCTCCCAGAAAATCCTTATTTTTCCTAATAAAAAGCATTAGCATATGCATCTGCTGCTAATTACCAAACCCACTCAACATCTCTTGATTTTCCTATTCTAGGCTGAATCTTACCTGAGGGATGGGAGTAGGGGAAGGGTAATAGCAATGGAAGAAACAGCTATTTTAATACTTTAAAAAATATGTTACCTTGTTTCATTAGTATTACCAAATGATTTGCTAACAAAAGAATTCTAAGGGCCCTTTAACACCAAAGTGTTAAAATATTTTACAAGTAAAATACATCTTTATAAAGTCGTTAGTAAAATAGAATTAGTTAAATAGAACTATATAATTATGCTATGAACTATAAATCATATGGTGTTGCTGTTTATTACTTAAAATACATTTTTTTCAGGGATGTGTTTGGCCAAATGGGAAAGCAATTATAACACACAAGCTACAAACTACAATCCTGGAAGCCGAAGCACTGATTATGGGATATTTCAAATCAATAGCCGCTACTGGTGTAATGATGGCAAAACCCCAGGAGCACATAACGCCTGTCGCATGCCCTGCAGTGGTAAGACAAGATAATGCTGAGTGATGGCACAGGATCCATCTGGTTATACTTACAAGAATAGAGATTCAATACAAATGAAAAGGTCTTGAAGGGTTCATCAGGGACCTAGAAAAACTCCACCTTAACTTCTAGAAACTCTTTATTATTCTCATAATTCCTTAAGAAAGAAATTAAAGAGCTGGTATCATAAAAGGTTGCTGTTTTCTAATATACAAAAGCTTCTGGAATGACATCACTTTATTATAACTGGACTTGGTGATGCTTTGTAGAGAACAATGCCAATTGGACATATGTACACTACCAAATGTAAAATAGATAGCTAGTGGGAAGCAGCCACATAGCACAGGGAGATCAACTTGGTGCTTTGTGACCACCTAGAGCGGTGGGATAGGGAGGGTGGCAGGGAGACGCAAAAGGGAGGGGATATGGGGATATATGTATACGTATAGCTGATTCACTTTTGTTATACAGCAGAAACTAACACACCATTGTAAAGCAATTATACTCCAGTAAAGATGTTAAAAAAATAAATAAATAAAATAAAATTTTAAAAAAAGGAAAAAAAAAGAACAATGCCATTCCTCCTACTTACCTTGTTTGGGGAGGTTTAGGGATAATTTGGTGTGTGGTGTTTTTTTTTTTTTAATCTACCCTCCTTTATTGGAAAATGAAAGGATTAGTAGTTAACCAAAGAGGAGGAATATGTGTGGTCCTTTTTAAAAAATTGTTTTTACTTTTTATTTATTATGAAATGTTTTAAATATATGGAAAATTAGAAACATTAGTATATTAGTATAATAAACATCAGTATGCTCATCATGTACTTTAACAGTAAAACATTTTGTCATATTTACTTCTTTTATGTATATATTATATATATATATATATTTTCTTTTTTGCTGAGTGATTTTAAAGTGAATTAGAAACATTATGACATTTCATTTCTAAATTCTTTAGTTTGCATCTCCAAAAATATAGTTCCTATATAAACATTGTTATTCTAACAAGTTAATCTACGGATTTGTTTAATTGGGGTGAAACAAATATTCTATTCAGTTCCTTTTAAAAGAGAGATAACGTGTAATCTTTAGTACATAAAATACTGGAGAAGTATTACAAAATTGATATTGTTAAATTTTTAAATATTAAAAGAGAAGATTCATCTTAGAATATTCTTTTGTATCCAGTTAATTTATTTTAAAAAATATTCTGTATTATATAATAATCTATGGTCATTGAATAAACATTCTTACTACCCAGAGATGTATGACCACTGGAAACTTTTGGTATACATATATTCTTTGAGGATATGTATCACTTACATATATGAATGTAAAGCTATGTTATACACATATGTACACACATACAAACATGTAAGCAATGTGTGTTTCAACAAAAATGAAATTGTACTATATTTACTGCTTTACAATTTGCTCTTTATTACACAAAATTATTTTTGTCAACAAATACCAATCTTTATTATTTTTTAAAGATGAATAGAATTCCACTTTATAAATATTCTATAATTTATCAATCCAACTCTTAATGTTAAGTACTTAAGGTGTTTCCATTTTCCCCTATTATTAATTGCTATGAAACACCCTGTACATACATCTTTGGGTACATCTCTTATTATTTCTTTAGAGTGAATTTCCAGTAGTAAAATTGCTGAGCAAAAAAGTGCTAGACCAGTTTCTACTTGTTGGTTTGTTTCTGTTTTGTTTTGTTTTTTACAGTGCCTAGTAAAAAGAGAACCTTCTATCACATTAGTGAATAATTCCAGAGCTTCCAATGACTTTGGTAAATGAGAAACAGAATGGTTTATTTCATGCCAAATGGGATGGAATGAAGAAAGAGTTTTCCCCCAACATTCACAGATACATGGACTCTTAAAAAATAATTTTAGTTGTTCTTTTCTCAGCCTAAGAGAATGAAGCTGGCTGAACCTAAACTTAAAATGAAATTTCTATGAGCATTGTTTCCATTTCTCACCACTTCTTTTTCAGCGTTGCTGAAAGATGACATCACTGAAGCTGTAACATGTGCAAAGAGGGTTGTCCGTGATCCACAAGGTGTTAGAGCATGGTATGCTTTTTTTTTTCCCTTCCAGTTTTATTGAGATGTAATTGACATACAGCACTGTACAAGATTAAGGTGTACAGCATAATGATTTGACTCATACATCATTGAAGCTGTAACATGTGCAAAGAGGGTTGTCCGTGATCCACAAGGTGTTAGAGCATGGTATGCTTTTTTTTTTCCCTTCCAGTTTTATTGAGATGTAATTGACATACAGCACTGTACAAGATTAAGGTGTACAGCATAATGATTTGACTTACATACATCATGAAATGATTATCACAATAAGTTTAGTGAACATCCATTATCTCATATGGATACACAATTAAAGAAATAGAAGAAAAAATTTGTGTGTGTGATGCAAAGTCTCAGGATTTATTCTCTCAACAACTTTCGTATATAACATACAGCAGTGTTAATTATATATATCATGTTGTACATTATATCTTTAGTACTTATCACTGGAAGTTTGTAGTACCTTTGACTGCCTTCATTCAATCCCCTCCCCTCACACCACCCACAACCTCCACCTCTGGTAACCACAAATCCAACCTCTTTTTCTATGAGTTTGTTTGTATGTTCCTTTCTCTGTGTTTGCAGTATAATGGACCTACAACACTATGTTAGTTCCTGTTACAGAGCATGCTGTGTGTTAATCATTAAAGGGGAGAGCTGTTTTACCCTGCTGTTATGAGAGAAGTGAGGGAATATTTCCAAAGACCAACATATGCTACTGAGAACTGAAAATTGCAGCTTTAGGTATATATGCTAAACAATGTATCACATAGAAACCATCTATGTTAACTGATTCAGAATCTTATTCTTTTACTCCTCAATTTTTTTTTAGGGGATTTCTAGAGTTTTTTTCTTTTTTAAAAATATTTATTTATTATTTTTGGCTGCATCGGGTCCTCGTGGCAGCTTGCGGGCTCTTCGTTGCCGTGCGCAGACTTTTCTCTAATTTTGGCGCACGAGCTTCAGAGCACATGGGCTCTCTAGCTGTGGTGCTCGGGCTCAGTAGTTGTGCCACGCGGGCTTAGTTGCCCCGCGGCATGCAGGATCTTACTTCCCTGACCAGAGTTCGAACCCGCGTCCCCTGCATTAGAAGGCAGATTCTCAACCACTGTACCACCAGGGAAGTCCCAATTTCTAGAGTTTTTAAGATTTTCCCCACTCTATGAACTCCTTGTCATATCTTGAAGTTATTTTGTAATTAAGTAAATGTGGAATGTACTTTGCAGTTGTGGACTACACAGGACTCAACATTCTTCTTCAGCATTCTGTGCTCTAGTGAAGGCTTGGGGGGAGACAGGAAGTACTTGGTATACATATCTCCATTTAATACTTGGATTGATCTGTAGCCTGTATTTCAGTATTGATAAACTATTTTGTTCTCCCAAAGGATTTGAAGTATGTGTATTACAATGAAGGTATGTTTTAACCTTATTACCATGTGTTTCATCTTTCTCTGCAGGGTGGCATGGAGAAGTCACTGTCAAAACCAAGATCTCAGGAGATATGTTCAGGGTTGCGGAGTGTAACTGTGGAGTTTTCTTTCTTCAGCTCATTGTCTCTTTTTCACATTAAGGAAATAATAGTTGAGTGAAAGGTCATACTACCATTCTTTCAAACAAATAATGTTTTTACAGAAGCAGGAGCATATGGGCTTTCTTCTAAGAGACTTAATGTTTACCTCATGTGTTTATTGTTTTATATTAGGCCTACAATATTTTTCGGTTTGCTAATAGAACTAATGCTGGTGAATATTTGTCTAAAATCTTAATTATCAAATATATGTCCAGTACATTCAGTTCTTAATCAAAGAAATAACCCAGACTTAATCTTGAATGATATAAGTACTCCCTAATATGCAATAAAAATATAACCAAAGAATATGTTTAAACAAATTGATCTTAGGCAAAATCCCACTTGTGTAGGCATGTGACACCTTCATCTGTTCTGTCATCTCCCAAAACAGTAAAAGATAACCACTCTTTGTTGGGCAATATAAAAATTTAAAAAGAGCAGAATGCCAAGTGGCTAAAAATAAAAACAGCCTGAATTAAGAATTTTGTTTCCATAAAGTGTGACCTTTGATTTGAATGTTTTCTTAGAAATGTTGCATTTACACAGCTTTAAAAATAAACTCACAATTTATATATCAATCTATCTTATCCCTTTTAAAGAACTCATTTATGCATCTTGCTGGTCATGAAGGAATATAAAGAGGGATTAGATGACCTGTTGCTTTTCCTTCATTTTATTAAGTTAGATTCATGCATTATGACAAATTCAGAGGCAGGTGAGTTTTCAAGTATTGAAATAATTGCTAATTAACCACAGGTGTGAAATTCTGCATGCTGTAAAAAATACAAACATTTTCATTAAAAGCTTTGCAATTCATACCTTGTCTCTTTGTTTAGAGCCGTTTAGTATCTCTGAAGAAATACATATGTATATATTTGGAAAAAAATTATCTGACACTTAGTGTTTCCTACATCCTCACCTGTACTGAAACAGCTGGATATTGCTGGAAAAATCCAAAAACATGCTGACAGATGTCACTTTACTTTTTTATTTTTTATTTTTTTGGCCGTGCCGCGCGGCTTGTGGGATCTTAGTTCCCCGACCAGGGATTGAACCCGCACGCTCAGTAGTGAAAGTGCGGAGTCTTAACCACTGGACTGTCGGAATTCCCCTCACTTTTTCACTGTTGTGGCCTCTCCTGTTGCGGAGCACAGGTTGCGGACGCGCAGGCTCAGCGGCTATGGCTCACGGGCCCAGCCGCTCCACGGCATGTGGGATCTTCCCGGACCAGGGCACGAACCCGTGTCGCCTGCATCAGCAGGCGGACTCTCAACCACTGCGCCACCAGGGAAGCCCTCCCCTTGCTTTAAATTCATAACCCCAAATCTCAAATGGGCCTTCAAGTCTGCCTGGTCATCTTAGTCACTTCTCTGCAATCCTTCTGTGTCGGTGTACCCACTCTCCAAAATGACTATCAATATTTACTTCTCTCATTTCAAAGTTCCAGCACACACGCCCAGCCACTGGCCTTCCACACTCTCTGCTGTCAGTACAGGACCTGGCCTCATATTACACTGAGAGAATAGACACAACCTTAGACAAAATTCTCCCCCTCCTCACCACCATTAACAGAGGTCACATCTTTCCCTGGGCCCATCATCTCTTCCTTCCCCTTTATTACTAGGATGAAGGGCCTCTGCTCCTGCCAATGGCAGTGTCTCCACATGCAATCGTCAATGAAGCCCTCTCACTGCTCCAATTTAGGCTGTTTCCTGCATCCTGAGTTTCTCCCTCTTTGCTGGATCACCCCCATCATTGTACAAACTGCCCTGGTAACCTTCCATCTTACAAAGAACTCTCTGTATTCTCTGCATGACCCTCCAACTACAGCATCATTCTCTGCTTCCTTTTACAGCAGCACTTGTGAGATGAGATATCTATATTTACCAGCTCCACGTTCTCACCTCCCTTTCTCTTTTCAACTCATCTTCATCTGACTGCTATCCTCACTCAGCTGAAAACTGCTCCAACAATGACTCCTTCCATGATGCCTTGGGGCCAGTTCTAGTGATCACTTGTTTTCTGTTCATCTTACTTGATGTCTCAGCAGCATGTCATACTTCTAGTTTCTTCCTCAGCTTCTTCTCATTTACATCCTGCCTCATTGATGGCTCCTTCTCAGTCCTTCTTGGCTGGCTGTTTCTCTGCTGTTTGATTTTTAACTGTGGGAGTGCCCCAGGCTCAAGCCTATAACCATTTGATAGACATGTTTTACTTCCTCATTTATTTGTCTCTTCTTGCTGAATTATAACTTTCAAAAGAATAAGAGTTTTTCCCACTTTTTAAAGACATTGACATCACCTCAATCTTTCCCAAAATTTGCAAGTACAGCCTTTTATGTTTTCTGAGCAGTTTGAGAATACACTGCCAACATGGTGCCCAGTGGCTCTGAATCCTTCTGTGTGTAATTCCTACCTAACTTCAAAACATCATCCAAATCAAGAGGTTAACACTGACAAATTAGGACCACCTAATCATCAGATCCTATTCAATTTCATCAACTGTCCCCATAGGTCCTTCTTAATTAAAAGGTATAATTCAGAATCATGTGTTATATTTGGTTGTTATGTTTTTCAGTTTCCTTCAATCTAGATCACTTCTTCACTTTTTTTCTTGACTTTGCTGACTTTAACCCTTTTGAAGACCACAAACCAGCTATGTTGTAAAATGACCTAAGATTTTTCTGATATTCTCTTGATTAGATTAGGTTATGCATCTTTGGCAGGGGTACCACAGAAGTGATTGTGCTCTTCTCGTTGGATCCTTTCAGGTGACATGCAGTTTTTAAATATTCTGTTACTGATGGTGTTCACATTCATCATTTGAATAAGGTGATGTCTGCAAGTCACCTCCACTGTGAAGTATTTGGGAGAGGGTAAGGTACTTTGAGAAATTTTGTTCCTCATCAAAATGTCAATGTATGCATTTACTTATTATATCAGTATGGACCCCTGGCTTCCTACTTTATTCAAATTATAATGAGTCATAATCCATTACTATCATTTATTTTGATGTTCACATTGTCCCTGATTTGGCCACTAGAGCCTCTGCAAGCTAGTTTCTGTGTCATTTTGACATGTCCCCATCATTCTTTGTGCACTTTTTTGTTTTCTGGCATAAGATATTCTAAGGCTCACCTTGTTCTTTTCCTGCTTCAGCCTGGAATCAGCCATTTCTCCAAAGAGCCCTTCTTCCTCATAGTGGACAATGGTATTTAAAAAGCAAGCTCTGGGCACTAGAGTGTCATTGTTCCCAGGCCCCATCAATGGCCAGGGCTAGAGGATATATGTATTGACATAATATTTATCTATTTAAATTGAATTCGTATAATACCTCCAATTCCAATCCCACACCACAAGGTTAATTCTAGTTTTTTCCTTTTTCATGTTGGTAATTCCCTTCTATGACAGTGAGAAACCTGGCACCCATTGTCCTTCATATCCTGAAAACGTATCCTTAGCACATGCATATATTTGATCAATTTGCCTGTATGTAACCAATCTCCCAACATTGCCACACCGTGGAATAGATGCTCTCCACTCAGGCTTTGATACCCCTCATTGGGCCACCCCTACTTCCACATCTGGACACCTTCCTTACTGTGTTACATGTGTTACTCTGACACACCACGCTGGGCCACTGTCCTTACAGGAAGAAGGGCAGAAATGTTTTACTCTTGTTTACACCCATATTCCAAACACCTAGGACAGTGCCTATAACATGATACATGCTCAATAAATATCCACTGATTGAATCTTTCCGATTATTTAGTATATTCCCCCATGCTGGGCATTCTGAGATTTTTCTTTTCTTTTTTTTAAAATTAATTTATTTTATTTTATTTATTTTTGGCTATGTTGGGTCTTTGTTGCTGCATGCGGGCTTTCTCTAGTTGTGGCGAGCGGGGGCTACTCTTCGTTGAGGAGCACGGGCTTCTCATTGCGGTGGCTTCTCTTGTTGCGGAGCACAGACTCTAGGCGTGCGAGCTTCAGTAGTTGTGGTGCACGGGCTCAGTAGTTGTGGCTCATGGGCTCTAGAGTGCAGGCTCAGTAGTTGTGGTGCACGGGCTTGGTTGCTTCGTGGCCTGTGGGATCTTCCCGGACCAGGGCTCGAACTCGTGTCCCCTGCATTGGCAGGCGGATGCTTAACCGCTGCGCCACGAGGGAAGTCCCTCTGGGATTTTTCTTACTCTCTGATCCCACATGATTCCAGTACAGCAGCTTCTGGGGTTCCAAGGGTCAGGTCTCAAATCTATGTGACCAGCCATGGGAGGACAGCAGAGGGCCCCAATACAGGTGCAGCCTCAGGCTTCAAGATTCTGGGACCATTTTGATATGAATAAACAAAAAAAGAATATGGGTTTATTCATATTAGGATTTCCAGAGGTGTACGAAGAATGAGTCAAGGTAGGGGAGAGAGGCTTGAAGAGTGACAACTCAGATGACAGCTCAGATGCAGAGATAGGATATATCCAAGAAGCACCAGGACAGACCCATAACAATGGCTGACTGAAGAAATAATCAGAGATTAGCAAAAGTTGGCTTAAGAGGGAAAGCAATATTTTTTGGCAATTCTGTTAGTGTTTTTGATAAATCTGTCTTACTTATACCTGTTATATTAATACAATCAAGTTCCCAAACCAAATTTCAACCCTTATTCTGAGAATGAAGTAAAAAATCAATATCAAAGTTTGATCATTTTTAAAAGAAATTCAATTCCTATGTTGCTTAGTTTCACCTCAGGATATTATTTGAAATGCAGAGTGATATTCCAGATGATAACGGGGCTCTTCATGTAGCACTAATTGTAACTAAGCCCTGAGCACATTTCTTGCACTTGTATATAGCGGACTTATTTAAAAAATATTTTCTTAGAAGTTGCTAAAGGGAATTACTAAAAGTTACAATCATGAGTGACTAATGTCATTCATAGACATAGTGTTTTTCAATTAAATGCACGTCTTTTATGCAAATTATATTTTGAATCATTTTAAATTTTAACAAGGTTATAAATTCTCAATGTTTACAGAGTCAGATAGTTCTACAAGGTTTGTTTTGAAAGATGTAACTCCCCATTTCTCCCCCTTCACATGCACAATCTTCTACTCTTTTAGCTTAATGTTAAGAATTTTAGGGAGTTCCCTGGTGGCCTAATGGTTAGGATTTGGCACTTTCACTGCTGTGGCCCGGGTTCAATCCCTGATCGGGGAACTGAGATCCCACAAGCTGTGTGGCACGACCAAAAAAAAAAAAGAATTTTATATTTACTCCCAT